ATGAGATATTTAAGCTTGTGTATCTGATTTATTTCACTAACATGGTCTCAAAGTGCATCCATTTTCCTACAAATGACTCAAATTTGTCCTTCTTGATGGCAGAATAATACTCTGTTGTGTGTAAATACATTTTCTTTATCCATCTGTTGTTAGACATATAGGCTGCTTCCAAGATTTAGCTATTATGAATTGTGCTGCTCTAAACATGGGTATGAACGTATCACTATAATATGACATTTAGAACTCTTGGGGAAAGATACCTACAAGGGGAATAGCTGGGGAACAAATGGAGTTCCTAAAGTGACCTTAACTATTTAGAGTTCATATTACTTTAAATTCTTTACATGAGGTCCCTAAATGTATATTGTTTAAACTTGCATTGTTTTTTTGCAATAACAAACCAAAAAAGAAAACAAAAAGGTAGAAAACATTGTCTCCCCAAATTCATTATTTGATCTTAGTGTTGGGAATAGTTCATTTAATGAAAATGGTTTCTTTCTAGCCAAGGCTCAGAAATGGCCTCTCAAGGACGGGAACTGGCTAATCATTTCCAGAGTGAAGGCACTCCAGTAATGATTGGTAAGGTGTTTGGACATCTTGCACTTTTTTGGCAGTGTGGAGAATAATGAAACTTACTAGTATAAAGTTTTAATGTTGCATAAAATCAGTCATTTTAAAATTAACTTTTATACTATGCATATTCATTGAATTTTTTACAAATTTCTAAGAGGAGCTGGGCATATAGCTCAGTGCCAGCCTGGCAAGCACAAAGCCCTGAGTTTGATTCCTGGTACAAAAAAAAAAATTCCAAGACAGTAAAGAAGTTAAAAGAAAGATTATAATAACCACAAGTAAAGATTAAGAAGAGGTGATAACTGTGTTTAAACCTTCATAGAACTAAGAGCACTGTTAAAAAAGAGGAGATGGTTACTTGACCAAGCATCATGAATCATGGTTCTGCTGTTGGCTGGCTGACACTGTGCAAATTACCTACTTCTCTGGGCTGTGTTTGTAAAATAGAAAGTTGGATTATCTGACCTCAAGATGCATGATTCTGTGAAGAACAAGACTTGTCCTGTGATAACTGAAGGGAAGTGAGGCTGGTATGTAAGACCTGGAGGTAGGCAGATGTCAGCAGAGCATCAGAATGTAAGTGGATGGCTCTTAGGTACCATCTGCGACAGTGATTGTTACTCACCTGGAAAGAGTTTGATTCTCTGTGTCCAGTCCTATCCAGCTTAGGCAATTCACAGGCTGTGACAGCAGAGCATAAGCTGTGTTACAGGTATAATTTTATTTTTTTAGCGTATATTTGGCCTCCAGGCATTTTACAATGTAGGATAGTCAATTTTAATGCCATTTTAGATTAGTCTTTTTAAATATAAATTGAATAGACAGTTGAAATTAGTTTATGCACTCCTATATTTCATATCTCTTCTTCTCTAGGGGGAGGAGTTTTGGCCCACACAATACTAGGAGTTGTGTGGAATGAAATTACAGGACAGATAAAATTTCTGATTCTAGATCCACATTATACAGGTGCTGAAGATCTGCAAGTTATTTTAGAAAAGGTAAGTACAGTATCTTTTAACACAAAGTAGAGAACTCAGAAAAGGACAAGAAACTAGCTTTTAAAAGAAAGAGAGTAAGCCGCAGGCAGTGAGCCTCACTGAAAGGAGTGGTTCTAAGGCTGTCACGAGCAACTCTATATAGGGAGGACAAGTGGGACAAAGTGAATTGGAAAATTTACATTAAATTATATGAAAACTTTCTCAGTTCTCAAACTTAATGGAGCACAAGTTCATAAATATATTCCTTTGGAAATTCTATAGTTTTGCATAAAAGAAAATACCAAGGTTTATCAATGCCTTGAAATAGAGGACTGGAATATAGAAACATAATTTTAGAATAGCCAAAAAATAGCTAAGTGAAATTCTGGACATTACTTAACCTGATCTTATTCTGTAAAGCTTCTGAGGTTGAGACAGACTTAAGAGTATGTATTAATGCCTACTAAATCATCTAATGGAGGTATAAATTTAAATAGATTTATAGGGAACTATTCTCACATATGAAAACTCAGTACTAAATCTTTAGGAGACAAATATTATAAGACATAATTAACCTGAATTTTAAATAACATATTTTTTGCCAAATACATTAAAGTTGCAGAGAATATGTATGACTTTTTAAATTATAAACTAATGAAGATATCCTGTTACCCTCTACTCTTTATTTTTGTCACTGAAGTCAGTATCGTTAATATCCAAGAAAGGTTTCTCTTTGAAGTTGTAGTTTAACTAGGTTACTTTTTAAAAGCAGAATTACTGGAACATGGGATGGTTTAACATTGAAATTCACTAGTGAAATTATTTTCAGAACTATATTGTTCAGAACTACATTAGCGTGTCAAAATTCTAAGGATAAAATGTTTTAATGTGTATGTTAGAGTTCCTGGTATTTGCATATAGCAGAACTCTCATGTCCTCAATTTATTAAAGTTTTTGTTAATGATAAGAGTAAGTACCAACAGAATATAAATGTGTTCTTAAAATTTTAAGTGTCTTCCTTTTCAAGACATTTGGAATTTTAAGTTTTTGATTACTGCACATATCTTTCTGAAAACAGTAATATTTACTCTTTGTATAGCAAAGTGTTCTTTCATTCAGCATTTAAGTAGCCAGTATGTGCCAGCCATTGTCCTAAGCACTGGAGGTTTTAAAAGATTTTTCAGGAGTTCTCAGACTAGTGGAGAAGGACAAAGAAGGAGAATCTAAAAAGGATTCTCAAGAAAAAAAATAATGCTGTGTACAATGGGTTTACAAGGCTGATGCTATGGAGGGACCACTTAGAACTATGAATGGCAAACATGACCCTGTCCAGTTCCAAGGGTAGTGAACCAGCAGAAAAACAAGGAATTTAGATTTTATCTTAAATGAAGGAGAAGCCTTAGTTATTTTCATCAGAAGGGTCATAGGTAATAAGATTGCTTTTTTCTGGCTGGCTTGAGGAGCTTTGCACTGGATGGAATTATCTAGATTGGGTTTCCTGAAGCAATTAGATACAGGAAGCCATCACCCCAACTACTTACTAAGTTCAGTCTTCCTTTGCTAGTTATATTTCCATAGAACTCTGCAACAGCAGAAACCTTGATCCAGTAGTACATGTAAGAAACCATGAAGCCAATGTGCAGCCATCAGTAGACCCTCATCACCTGAGCAGGCGAGTTCTGCCGCCTCCAGACTCTACCCTCATGTGGAGCTCTTTTTGACATTCCCAGGCTAGTCATCTTTAAGAAAAGAGGCATGGGCCCCAATATACTTGCTCTTTGGCACCCTTTCTACTCAATTCCCTTTAAAAAAAAAACAACAAAAAACTTTGGATCTGGTTTCCTGGAGAAGGCCTACATGTGTAGAAGTATCAGAAAAATGTTAAAACAGGGATATATAGAAAAGTTTTTTATATTTGTTGAGAGACTTTTGGACATTAAATATATTAAGTTTTGCAGAAAAAATGAGTCAAAAATAGTTTATTAATAAACAATGGTGTTTACCTAGAGAAAGGGAAGACTGGTTTTCTTTTTTTTTTCTGGCACTGGGGATCGAACTCAGAACCTTGTGCTTGCAAGGCAGGCATTGCTCCACTGAGCTAAATCCCTGGCCCTTTTTTTTTTTTTTAACTTTGATCTTGTTTGAATTTTTACAATGTTTATCTTAGTTTATAATGAAATAAAAGAATGAAAAAATAAAAATAACATTTTCAATCAACCTTCCCTCCTCACTAAAAAAACCCAGCTAAAACATTATCTTCTGTAGATAGTATGGATTTTGACTCTAGGTTCTGCCAGAATACCCAGCATCTTCAGAGTTAAAGGAATAACCCTAGTACTTGTCACTTAGTGGTATTTTAAGAGTCCTCAGCTGCCTCCTTGCAGGTATTTCTCAAAGCATTTAATTTGATAGTAAAGTAAAACAATCCAGTCATCAACTTGTTCCTAAGAAAAATAAATCAGTGGCCCTGGGAAAAATCTGATAAACTCTGATATTCAAAATGAGATTCCATTTGAAAATAATTTTCTCTGCTGAAGAATACTGATATTAGAAAAAATAGAAAGTAGAAAATAAAAAGTAGAAAGTAGAATTAGCTATAGCCTGAAGGAAATGAAGGAACATAAACTGCGCCTCATGGAGCAAACTCAAAGTTCTCACTATCATATTTCACCAGAGATAAGATGCCATTGAATGGTACATATCAGTCTCTTATGGACTGCTAAAAGAAACAGTCTACAAGTAGGATATTCTTACATGTTATCAGTTACCAGACATGTCAGATTGTACTTAGAACCACCAGTACAATGCAGTATCTGGACTAAGAGTAACTGAAAGGAAGTTTTTCTTTTTTAATGATTTCTTTGATTAAATACTGTACCATCAAAAGTTTAAAGATCTAGCTGGGGATTTAGCTCAGTGGTTCCACCATCTGCCTTGCAAGCGCAAGGTCCCGAGTTCAATCCCCAATACCAAAAAAAAGTTTAAAGATCTATATACTTTTCTACACTTAGATAATCCTTAAATTATATAGGTATTTGAGTATTGATCTGATGTCCTGTTGACAGAGTTTTATAGCACAATTTCCATCTTGTAATCTGGTAACTCTGTAAAAAATGTTCCTTTCTTCTCCCAAATTCAGGGCTGGTGTGGATGGAAAGGCCCAGACTTTTGGAACAAGGATGCTTACTATAACTTATGTCTTCCTCAGAGACCAAATATTATTTAAATTGTCTTGGATGTAAAAGACTGTAGTAAAGTGGTATTATAAATTTGTTAATAAAAAAGTTTAAGTTCAAAATTAAATCCTGGGTATAGTTTGATGGTTTAAACTATGTTTCTTTTTATAAAGTAGTAAATACTGCACAGAGATTTTATTCTTTAAACATTCTTTAATAACTTAAAAAACAAAACATGCACAAACAAGTATTACAGTCATGTAAATTACATGTATTTTTTTTTTTTTTTGGTACTGGGGATCAAACTCGGGACGTTGCGCTTGCGAGGCAGGCGGCGGAACCACTGAGCTACATTTCCAGCCCAATTACATGTATTCTTAAATGTTCTCTTCACTGGGAAGAAAGTTTTCCTCCACCTTGGAGTTTAAACACGTATGGTAACCCAAAAGCCATTGCTTGTGGATCTTTTTGGAATGAAGCCTGCTTTGAACCTCTTTATAACCAACGTGACATTTGTTTTTTTAAAAAGTTTTAACAGTAAAACTTTTTTTTAAAAAAAAAGTTTTCTCCCCAAACTTTCACCATGCAGGACAAATTTTGGTCTTTAGAATCTAGTACAGTAATAGTAGTAACTATACCACTATTAAAATGTTAATGAAATGAAAGCCAAGTACAGAGCTTAGGCCCACGCCTATAATCCCAGCACCGGGAGGCTAAAGCAGGAGGATCACAAGTGTGAGCCCAGCCTGGGCAACTCAGAAGACCCTGTCTCACCAGGCGTGGTGGTGCACACCTGTAATCCCAGCACTTGGGAGGCTGAGGCAGGAGGATTGCAGTGGGTTCAAGCCCAGCCTGAACTACATAGTGAGACACTGTCTCAAAAAATTTTTTAATAAAGATGACCCTGTCTCAAAAAAAAAAATTTAAAGGGCTGGGGATGTAGCTCAGTCAAAGGACCTGGGTTCAATCCCTAGCACACTCTCCCAACCAAAAAAAGAAAATAAAGAGATAGTACCAAAATAAGAGTGTCAATAATTAAATGGAACAATAAGTTTTATGCTAAAAGAGATTCTTGAGGGAGGAAAAAAAAAGTTTTACATACTTATCAACACTTTCTTTTCTCATTTATATTTTCTGTACTTCCAAAACTTCGTTTCTGTCTGAGCAGTGGGACACAATGATCCCTAATGGGTTGTTCATTTGACTTTATTGTCTGCATACATTTAATTGTTGTAAGAAACTTGGCACATTCTGGAAATCCATGTAACCACGCAAGATCTTCAGCTGTCTGCCCATTCTTATTACATAAACTGAAATTAGAAAAAAAAAGTCGAGTTAAATAAAAACTGATACTTAGTCTTTTTTTCTATATTCCTAACAGAGGAATTTTGGGCTCATACCATGGTTGCAAAGTAGAAGAGGTAAAGAGCACATAGGGAAATTTCATTCTTGCTCGCTATTGCATCCTTAGTGGCTAGTAGAGTCAGAACAAAATGGGCATTCCATTGTTAAATGGATACAAGAGTATTTGGTGTTCAACCCAGTCAATGAGTGCCCAAACATGGTCAATGAGATTTTCTATAGAATAAGCCTTCCTGAAGCAAAAATAATGTGTAATAATGAACAGAATTGCACTTCTGATTGCTTGGGATCCATTTTTACACCACTTACTCAAACTGATATTATTACATATCACTGATATAACTATTTAAATGATAACAATAATTAGGCAAGCATTTTAAAAGCACATGCAACTAAAAAGCATCAGGACTCTAACTGAATTTTTAAAAACCCCAAATTTGAAGCCATTTACATATTTCATACTCACTCAATCTGGGCTTCACTGGCTACAAGCAGGCTAAGGCATTCCAGGCTTCCAACTTTAGCTGCCTTATGGAGTGGCGCTTCTCCCAAAACATCCTGTAGGGAAAAAAAAAGCATTTTAGAGTCTCTCCCCAAAGCACTTATCTGTGGAAGCTGGTGAGTGAAATCTAAGATTAGCTATTTGAGGAAGCCAGTTAGAACTGCACTGTACAGGCTGGATTTTTTAATTCAAGCATTTTATTTGTGATACTGTTCCTTTAGTGTGCTATTACAAAGTTTTCATTAATAAAAATGTGTGGCCACATCCACATACATTAAAATTAATGAAAGCAAAACAATTTTACAGAAGCCAAAAAGTATACAATTTAAAATTCACCATACTTTAATATTCAATGGAAGATGAAAACTACCAAAAGAAAATGTGGCCAGATTGAACTGAATTATCCTGTAAGAGTATAATACACACTGACTGGACTGTGAGTTGTGAAAAGAAAATGTAAAATAGCTTATCAGTAATTGCTTTATACTCGTTACATATTAAAATATTTTTACAAATTCTGTTAAATTACTAAATATTTCCTTTTCATTAATGTGGCCACTATAATATTTTAAATTATGTGTCTTGTATTTCTGTTGGACACACCTGCTATGGGCATGTTTGCAACAGCTGAACCAACTGTATAGACTGGCAGGAAATGTCTGAATTTGAGGTGGAGGGGCAGGTGGGATACAGCAACAATCAGTTACCTACTTACCTGTTGATTGAGGTCAGCGCCTGTTTGCAGCTGCCAGAGAAGAAAGTAAGCAAAGCCGCCACCTGCAGCTAAGTGGACAGGCGACTGCTCACAGGAATCCGGGGGTGCATTGACGGAACACCCAGTCTGCAGCAGATGCTTCAGACCATCCGCCTGCAGGACGAGAGCAGATTCAGCATACCTCTCGCCTTTGTCCAGTCCTGAGCCCTTTCCCGATTGAAACTTCCCCCACTGCAAACGCCATCAAACTCTGACAAGGCTCAATTTGGCTGCGCTGAGCAGTCAGACCAGTGTCACACTCGCTGGCCCGCCTAACAAGACACAGCTGGAAGGAGCCTCTAACCTGCAGGACAAAGGGACCCCAGTCTCACCTCCGGGTTGCAATCAAGCAATAGCATCTCCCGCCTAAAACAGAAGACCAGAATCTCTGGAAATGCAGTGGCTGGAGAGTCGCTGCGGACTGGCAGGTAAAAAATGCACAGGCCTGCCCCAGTGGGAGAGAATTTAAAGCCTCTGGCCACCCCTTCCGGGCAGCTTAATCTTCAGCTGCCAGCACTTTCCCGTCCCAGCCGCCTCACGTACCCAAACAATGACACGTGCAGCCGGGAGCTAGCCCTGGCTGGTTGGGGGAGGGGAGGAGCAGGAGGCCGATTGGCCAGCCCAGGAGCCTCCAGGCCGGCCCACTTCGGGGTGACCCCTGGCCGCCCCCGGGAGACCCAGCACGCGTGCGCTATCCAGGCGGTGGGCGGGGAGAACACGACCCCGGGCTGTTAGGGTTCGGCGCCTGCCATGGAGCGCGCTCACACTGTCACGTATCGCGGCCGGTTGCCAAGCCCTTTAATCCTGGAGAAGCGGGAGTCGCGGGCGAAGGTTTCGGTTTCTGCGCCCGTGCACGTAACCAGGAAAAGAGGCCATGCTAAGTAGCTGTGCTGCGACACCACCTTTGGAAGCCGCTGTGCGCGGTGCTGACGCCGTGCCGGAAACCGGAGGAGGGAGACCGCCTTCTGCCTCACGTTCGCGGCCGCCCCTCACCGAGGCCCTGAAGTTTAGGGAGGAAAGGCCAAGAGTGGGGCTTGTTAATGTGTATGAGGGGACAGGATTTACCACAGGAGACCCTCCCCAGAGTTAAAAGCGGTCCTCCAGCCGTGCCCGCAGTGGGAACGCAGTGAAATAAGCCAGCGCTGTAAAGTGTCCCCTCCTGTGGAGAGGGTACATTGTACTAGAGCATTAAGAGGCCAGGCGATAAATGTGAGTAGTTTGCAGGAAGGAGGAAACCTGTGATTGTCATCACCCTGATTATTAGGACGCTTCGTGGAAAAATTAGACGCAGGCCACGTACAGTGAAGACTTAGGGGCTCTTCTCGCTGGACAAGGCTGTCATCCCGGGGTGCTCAGGAGGTAGGACTGGGAAAATGGCTCTCCGGGACCTCACTGTAAGATAAGCTTGGTCATCCATTCCCTTTTGCAAAACTTTAGAAACAGATGGAATTCAAATTGGAGCCACTGACAAACTCGATTCTCTTCCTAAGCACTCCCCACATTAATCTAGCTAAAACCCAAATCTCCAATATGTATTTCTTTCTCTAAAGTCTTCAGTGACTCCCATCTAAAAATACGTGTGTTTATTGTACTTTTAGAGGACAAGGTCAGTTTCTAATTTTCGTTATTGTACGTCATTTATTTTGTAATCAGACTCAAACTATAATTCTGCAATCATAAATTTATGTTATTAAATTTAAGCAGTAACCCAGAGAGTAGTTTTAAACATTTTTATTTATATGGCTATTTGGCCATATGAGTAAATTTATATATTTATTTATATAAATCTTTACGTATAAATGTTTATACTTATGATCCAACATATACATAGAATGATGTGTACATTCTTTAATAAACTAGTCATAAAATCTTATAACAGCAGTACTGAGATATTGTTATCAAAGTTGGCAAACACACATCCCTGTTGCCAAGTTCCTTTTCTCCCATTAACCAATTAGGTAAGCACCATTACTAAAAGCACATGGAATTAAGCCTCAGGTTTGCACAGATGTTCATTTTTAGAAATTACAGATAAGAGAGATTATCAGAGAAGTTCTTAAAGTTTTAAGCATAGTATTGTTTAATCAATTTATGTAATGGTATATTTATATGGTGATAGTGTCCCTACATTTTTCTTTAAAACAAGATACTGTTCAGCATGCATTAGGCCTGATAATTATTTTTAAGTTTTAGTTAATATATGTAAGTTTTACAGTAATGTAAAAAGCTTACAAATGACAACTTACATTAAATGATCACTAATGTCATTATATTAAATGACCACTAATAAATTCAATTTATTATAATAAATCGGCATTAATTGAGCACTTATGTGTAAAACACTGATAGATATTTTATTATCTTTTACAGAAAAGAAACCAACGCTTAAAGTCTTGTAATTATTGAGGAGTGGAGCTGAAATTTGTACTCAGGCAGTTGAATTTAGAGCCCACGTTTTTATCATTCCTATCACATCTTAACAATTCCTATCACATCCTAACAATTGTGGTCACCTTTGATAAATTCACATTACTAATATTGGCTTCTTTAAATTAGAAAAAAGTCTTTAAGAAAATTATTGTTATTAATCTATTCTATAGTAAAACTTTTTCACTTTGAATGGTGACACATCCCTGGAATCCCAGCACTCTGAGAGGCTGAAGCAGGAGGCCTGGTCAGTTTAGAGATTTAGCAAGATCCTGTCTCAAAATAAGAAAATAAGTAGGGCTAGGGATGTAGGTCAGTACAAAGGCCCTGGGTTCAATCCCAGCACCACAAAGAAAAAATCATTTAATAATGGCTGTTAATGTAGCTTTGTTCCTGGAATTGAATCTCCCATATTACTTAGCATAGTGCTTATTTAAAGAATTTTTGAATAAATGAATGAATGTGCGGGCCGCCGTACCACCCCCCTCAGTGCACAGGAGGTGAGCTGTGTGGGTGCCAGCAACACCACCCCCCTGCCCCCGTCAAAATGAGAAGAAGACACATAAACAAGTCTCAAAACCAGACTTCCAGATCACCTAAAGCAACCCCAAACAACGAGATGGAACACTGATATGCAACCACCTGGACTCCCTGAGCTGGCAACAAAAGAGGATATGGAAAAAATAAAATCAGAAACAATTTCCCAGATAACAGCAGAGATTGTGCCCATAGTGCAAGACATGATTAATAAATCTAGAGAAGGACACAGATTAAAAAAAAAAGAGGAACTGAGGAACATGATGGAATCCATAAAACAGATGCCAACAGATTTCCAGAAAATTTAAAACTCCACTGAAAGTTTACGCAGCAGAATGAGCCAATGTGAGGACAGAATTTCAGACATAGAAGATAAGATTGCAATTAGTGACCAGGA